ACCCTATTTCATTTCCTGATAAGTCAATCACCAACATTCTTAAACTTAGCAGGCCGGAGACATTGCTATATGTGAAAACATGCTACAGCATCAAATACTGTACTTTGATATTATATGTCTGTCTCTTTTTCAGAGGATACTGAAACATTATATAATGCATATGAATCACTCGTTAATTATTCTTTGCAACACCCCATATAAAATGAGTAAGGTAAAAAGGTGAGAGTTCAGTGGGTGTTAGGTGAGTGTGAAAATCTCACTAGCTACCTATTTGAATCACTTAAAAACTTTAAGACTGTACCCTCAGGGATTTAAATTATGCACACATTAAATCAAGCTGTCCTGATTTAAAAAAAAAAAACAAAAATCTGAAGAAACATGATGCAACCCTTAGAAGCAATGTAACTCATGCCAAGCAAAACATACTTGTCTCTGGACAAATCATAGGCTACATGTTTTTATTTATTGTGGGTTAGCTTTCATTTGCACAACTCCATCTTGTTTTAGCCAACTGGCTCTTAAATTGCCTTCCCATACAACTTTCTGGCCTGTTTGTTCTCCTTACCTTTCTAATTGCTACTGCTCTAGGGTCACAATGATCAAATATCAGACTTAGAAACAGCAGTGTCTTCCACTGTTGTAAGCATCCCAGTAGTGAACCACTGCAGACGACTGCATGTTTATACTTATAGCATCAGTTTCTTCTGTGTAGGAGCCTGGATTAAATTTTCTAAGACAGCAATAGTGTAGATAATTGCCAGTTATTACAGATAGTCATTTATAGCCTGGCAGGACTGGACTGTGTCAGCATGGGAGATAAATTAGAAGTTATTATAAGCAAAGTGCTCTAGTCAAGCTTGAACATGCTAGAGGTGACTGGCTAATCCCTGGTCCTAAATGAGTAGCTGTTTCCTTCCATTCCTTCAGTACTTCTGAAGTAAGTTCACTGGTGAGCAACAGTGAGGCAAATCTGGTAGGGTTTCCCTTAGGCTTTACAGGCAAGCACTTTTGCTGGTTTTTTTGACACTGAGAAGATACATGTCCATGGTTGGGACTGCCTGCAGAAGTGCACCTGCATGTTGCTCCACCGTTTGCCAGCAGACTCTATCTACCCACATGCTAGCACTGTTTCTGGAGCACTTTCCATTCCCAAATATGAAATATGTAGCACCCCTACCCTCAATGGGCCTTATTATAGAAAGAAGGCAAGCCGTTTTCTTATGTGAGAATTTATATCTATCTGAAAGAGCCCCAGCAGACTATATACATATTCATGCCCTTCCCTTGAGGTGAGCAGTCAATGCATCTCAGATGAGGTATCCCTGGTAGTTCTTACTGCTGACTGGGCAGGATTCTAACTGCTTCAATTGCTGTGCCACACTGCTTCTGCAATCTTTGCTCATGCCTTTACCATCACTTTTGCAGATATAATGCAAGGTGCAGCAAGCAGCTAAAATCCTTGGGCAGGTGCTGCCCAACAGCCTACAGCCTGACACTAAACCCACCCACTTAGCCTTCCACTGTCTGAAAGTACATTCACCATCATCCTGCAGGGCTCAGCTGACTGCTAAAAGTTTCCTTTCTGCCATCAAGACACCAATGAAAGGTTTTGTGAGCTAGAAAAGCAGCACGGAAGTAAGATTTCTGACTATATGCAGAGGATGCTCACATTGTTGATCTCTAAGCTGCAAGCAGTTCTGGCTAACCTCTGTTTCCTCATCAGGGATATCAAGGTAGAGTTGTTAAATTCTAGCATCATACACTTTTCTGGACTACACTGCATTAGCATGGATGTTCATCCCACAGTTGTTGACCAGGCCCTACAGCAGGACAGAAAAAAACCTCCTCATTTATGAACTCAGATTTTGGCAGGGGAGGAGAGACATGATAAGTATTCTCTCTGATGTGCCAGTGTAGTTTGAGAAACACGTGGTCAAAGCTATCAAAAATCTGAGGGTTAACAACCTTATGACTCACAGTCAGTATCTTTTTGTATGGCACAGACTGCATGCACAACAGTACCAACGATACTATGATTACCCACACCAAAATGGCTCTAAGTGGATCAACTGTAGTTGGGGATTGCAACCTTTCAGATGCAGAGTGCCGTGCACTTCTCCATGGACAAGGGTACTGCACGTTGATAATCAGCCTTCTGCAGCTCTAGGGCTAGGTCTTCACAGATTTTCAAGAAAGTAGCATTTGTCTTCTTGAAGTTCTTCCATCAGTACCAGCTAGCCCATGTTCCATCTTCTCCCATCAATGTATTTTTGTTTTTTTTGCTTCCAAAACCCAAAGGTCCCTGGACTAGAGATGGTCCCAGAACATGCTTGTCACCTGAATAGCTTCAATTTCCTGTGAGTCGTTAATATTATGTGAGAGTATGTTGCCTACTTCCAGTAACTACTGTGGAAAAGAATTGTCTATCTTGGCTCTTTAGCGCTGCCCCTGCCACAGTAATATTTGCAGGATACCAAGATGGGACACACCTGTGTTTTTGCATTTAGAAAATGACACTATCTCCTTCCTGGAAAGAGGTTGCCAGGTGAATATTAACTCATAGTAGAGATGATATCCTTTATTAGACCAACAAGATTTGTGCAAAAAAAAATAAATCTTTAATTGCAAGCCTTCAGGCACGAACACCTTTCATCAGGCATTGGAGAAAAGATTGTAAACGTTCTCCTGGGTAGAAATGAAAGTTTATATTTCATAGGATTTCAGAGGAGTCAATAGATGGAAAACTCTGGGCAGTCAGTTCATAGCTGGTATGGAGCCTCTCACCTCCTGTGAGGATCTGTGATGATGCAAATTACCTTGAAAAAAAGGCAGGAGCAGGATCTCAGGTTTCAGGTGGTCACAGTTGCTTCCTGCTAAGGTGAATTTTAGGATTTTTTTCATAGTTAACTCACAGAAATTGGACTTGGAAGCCTCCTATTATCTTTCTCCAAATGCTCCACTCTTGCACTGTGACAGGTATCTCGGACTGCACAGAGAAGGCAGTGCTATAAAGGATCCTGGGATATCACCCCTCCTGTTTCTGAAGGGACTAGAAGCAAGCTCCATCCCTCCATCTGCTCCTATTTGCAGCAACTGAACATAGCCTGGGTTAAGCTTGTTTTCTTTTGGCAATCTTTTCAAATAGTATGACTGAGGTGATATTCCAGGATTGCAGCTGCAGCACCAGAAGTGTTCATTAGTGCTATTTTGGGTCACATCTAGAAGCCATCACTCAGTACTTTTTACTTAGTACTTACACAGAATTCTTGTTGATTTCAGACAGTACTTTTGTGTAACGACCAAGTGCTCCAGGGTTTGACCTCCCGTTTTCATTTCTGAAGACCTACTTTCTAGAACTAGCACAGCGGTTATAGTACCCAGGTCTAGACACATGGTTGAAATTCTGGCTCTACTGAAATTAATAGAAGTTTTTCCATTGATTGTGGTCATGATTTCACACCACAGAGGGAAAGGCCAATGGTGGCTCCCAAACATGCATGTCACTGCTAAACTGAATTAGATATCCTACACTTGTAATCCTTTTGTTATTTAGTGACTGATATGAAAAGATTATATCAGTCCCAAGGCAACTGAAGTTAATATAGCTGGCGGGGTGGGGGCAGTGGGGTTAGCTAGATTCTGAATTTTAATTGCTACTTCCTATGTGCAGGCTAGTGGGGAATCATAATGATAACCACCACTGCAATTACCTACAGTAGTTGCCCTAGAAAGTCTATATTAAACTATTTCTACTCTGGAAAAAATGACTTGAGGTCTTAATTTTTTAAGCAAATGAATCAATAAACACGGTGCACACATATCACAAGTGATCAGAGATCAGGCAAACCTTTTGGTGCAAGGCTGCAGAATCCCTACAACACACCCTTCTTCCTGCATGTTCTAATTACAAGAACACACATTTATAAAAGTGCTGGCAAAATGTGGCGGAATCTATCTAGGGATTTACTCTTTCCATTCTGCCATTGTCACTCCCTTTCCAACTGCACTACTTTCCGGATATATCATCCATTGAGGACCATTTCCTTCCAGCTGATCAGTTTGTCTTAGAAAGGATCAGCTAAAGGAAGTGTTAGTAAAAAAAAAGGCCAACCCCCCTCTCCCCACAGGGTTGTGTTAGGGGTCAAAAAACCTTACAAAACCAACAAGCCTTTTGATGCACAATGCTGAAGGACCCTCCAAGTGAAAGTTTCTGTGGGGCTTGTGCTGTAGGGATATGTTTTTTCTAAAAAAGCTAAACTGAATTCCTTGTAAATCACTCTTGAATTCCATCGATCTGGGAAATGTGTTTATTAATCTATGGGTTCTTTTCAACTTTCTCATAACATAGGCCCAACTTCTGCATGGATGTAACAGGCTGCAAGCTAGCAGCCTGGAGCTATTAGCCAGCTGGTAACAGGCCACCGACTTAAGGAACCACAGCTGACTTAGTTATTCAGTAATGAGGGGAAGTTGACTGGCTGACTCAGAAATGAAAGGAGGCAGGAAGTAGAAGTGGGATGGTGGATTTGGATTTGTTTGTAGGCCTTGTTAAGGGTGAAAAGAGAGTAGAAGCTGAAAACTAATCTTTGCTTGTGGGAGTTCATTGTGGACTATTTGTATTTTCTGTTGTGCTTTGTGTCTCAGATTGACTCAGGGCTTGAAGCTGAGCTTGGATTGTTTAGCTCTTGGCTGAGCTATGGGGAACAAAAGAGCCCAGAACATTACAGCTTGTGTTCCTGAGCCCAGAGAGACTGTTGCTGGGACCAGGTTAAAGGGCTCAAGGACTAATTTGAGCCAGGCCAAGCCAGGCTGAGCTAGGCTAACTGGCAGTATGCTAAAACTGGTGGAGAATGCAGGCAATCAGCCTCAACCAATGCAGGCCTGACTTGGTGGCTGAATCTGAATTGAGTCAGGGAACCAATAAAAAGGTCTGAACTGATTGAAAGCTTTCCAAATCTTTGGAAAACACTTGAAGAGCTCTGATTTGGGCAGTCCCCACCTGCTGCAGCAGGGAGCTGAAGCTGGACTTGGAGCTGGTAAGTAGGGGGCAGGGGAGGGGAGGCTGGATAAGTGGGAAGGGGACCCCTGCCTGCTCCCCTAGCCCCCCCATAGTTACTCCATCCACCCCAGCTCCTGGTGCTTTAAAAAAAAGCCCTCATTCACTAGGTGCTGCTGGTGGGGGGGTGATCTCTGCTCCCCCACAGTGCCCCATGCTGCACAGGGGTGC